CTGCTGGTTCCTGGTTGACTCTTGACCATCCTGACCAGTCGTCTCTCAGCAGCAGCTGGTAGTTTGTGTTTCCTTTCTGATGGTGGCAGTAACACAACTGGACCATGAACTTTATATGCTGACACACTGATGGTTCTGGATCTGAAGCTGCTCTGAAATGGCTCCAAGTGACTTTCTGACTGGTTCCAGTCTCTAATGTTCTGGGTCCTGTTGAAACTGGATCAGAGGAGTCAGCAGCTGGAGTCAATCAGAACCACTCAGGAGGAGTTAGGAGGTCATGAAACTAAGAAAATGAGATTAACAGCTTTCTGTATTATCAGAAGTGACAAGTTGCTTTATGTACATTTATGATCCAGCAGATTCTGTCATGTTTCCAGACGACCTTTAATAAATCTGTGAAAGAACCAAAATACAGGATTGTTTGAGTGGCAAAGATTCAATGATTCCATCAGAGAAGATTCAGAGTTCTAGGAGTCACTGGAGACTAAACACATGGTAAACGTGGACTTTACAAGAGGATGGAAATGTTTGTTTACGACTGTACACGATGATGATGTTTTCTGATTGGCCTCCTCTGCACCATGTGACGTTTATGTGTTCACCTGCAGGGTTTCATCGTGATCGGAGCAAATCTTCACTTCAGCAAAGGCCTGAGAGAAATGGTAGCAGCCAGCATGGAGGGCGGCAGCAACAGCACCAGCAGCGTCTAATGTCCACGTGTGGAGAACGTGCTCAGATATAAACACTGTAACCAGCAAACAGAACACTAGACGTGAACACGAGGACCTGACAGCAGGGACCACTCAGACAGAACCACAAGAACACATGTAACAAGCACACACACGGTGTGAACATGGTGCAACACCTGAACACAACCGTGAGACTTTATATTTATGCAGCAGCTGTTTATTAGCCGTGACACTGAAACAGGACTAACACTGTAACGCTGGCACACTGACAACAACATCACATGGTGTGTCTCAATGACAACATTGTCTTAACACAGGCCCCGCCCCCTCTGAGGCGCGTGGCCTTCCAGCGACGCGATGCCGTCAGCAGAACAGCGACGGTGCGTTCACTGAACCTTTCATCACCAGTTACCTCAACACTGCAGGAGGACAGTTCTAGAAGCTACCAGCTAAACCTGAACTAAACCCGATTAAACTAGTTAAACCAGAACTAAACCAGCGATATGAGAGTTAAGTGTATTAAAACTGTCACAGACATCTTGTGGTTTATCAGGAAACATTTGATGTTTTTGTCCTATTCACCTGTATCGTAACCATGGAAACATTACACACTGTGTGATGATTCTGACCGTTTGTCCAAATATCTGCTAATAAACAACAGTCTCTATGTGACTCCATTAAAACTCTTTGCGTCGTAACAAAACACACAGTGGCTGGTTGTCATGACGACCACTGAAATGCGTTTGGTTGAAGTCAGTTTAACACCTGTAACCATGGTGACCTTGCACCAGACACAGACAGCCGTAACCAAGGCGACTGTACCGATGAAAATTTAAAGGTTTTCAGTTTTTTGTCGCCACAATTAGCAAAAATCTCAAATCTGACAGCTTGTTGTCCAAAGTACTGATCAGTAACCTGGAATCAATGACTGAACCGATGTGAATTGATCACATTTTATTCTTATCTGGTAAAAAAAAAAAAGAAGCATTTTAACACAGTCACTTCATTTAAACCCACCCCATCACAGCATCTTCTCAGTAGGTCATCATCAGGTGACAACACGTCACAGAGTTCACAATAACCAACCAGTTAACCAGGAATAACCAGCCATCAGAGTTCATCACTGGTTATTTCTCAGCATCAGATACCCATCAGTTAGTCAGAGGGAATCCTTGTAAACTAGGTAAACACATTCGTCACAGTTTTTAAATTAAAGTTCACTTTTTAAGCTTAGAATTAAATAAAATTCATGTCATTACTGAAAGAAATCGTTTTTTTTTTCTTCTTCTTTTTAATCTCAAGCTGAATCCATCGCTGCTGCCTGAACATTAACCCGTCTTTAACTCTTTGGTCACTTGTTGGAAAACTTTTCGCCGATGCCGTCGTAGCCATGGAAACCACACTTGGCGCCGGCGACTCTGCAGCCATACGTCAGCGCTTCCTGTAAGCTCCCACCTGCAGGCGGAAAACAGACCGACTGTTATTCAGCGCCGATCCAGCCACAGCCACCGTGGAAGTACAGAAACGGTCTTTTCACTTAGTCGTAGAGTTCAGTTTTACAGCGAACTCCGCTCTGACTCACCGGCCGACAGCGAGTGAATCACTGCAGCGTTGAAAGTGTCTCCGGCTCCCAGAGTATCGACCAGACGCTCTGGAGGAAAAGCATCTGAATGAACCAGCAAACCGTCAGGACCCAAAGCAGAAGCTCCTTTTTCTGCCCAGGCACAGATCAGGACAGCCCTGAGAGTCAGACAGGTGAGGGACAGACAGGTGAGAGTCAGACCGGTGAGAGTCAGACAGGTGAGAGGCAGACCGGTGAGAGGCAGACAGGTGAGAGGCAGACAGGTGAGAGTCAGACAGGTGAGAGACAGACAGGTGAGAGTCAGACAGGTTAGAGGCAGACCGGTGAGAGGCAGACAGGTGAGAGACAGACAAGTGAGACTCACCCCTGTCTAACTCGAGGGTAGAATCCTCTGAGAGCAGCTTCGGCCGAGTGGAACCCAAAGTGTCGAGCGACGTCTTTGCTGACGAACACCTGAGAACATGAGGAACACGACGCAACGTTTCAGACATCAGACAGAACAAAGGTTTGGCGTTGTAGCGCCTTGATGCCATCAGAGCTTCGTACCACGTCGCCGTGTGGAAACAGCTGATACAGCGGCTCTCTGGTCTTCTCAATCTCCACAGAGACGGTGATCTTCTGTTGTTGTGGCAACGTGCTGTTGTACGCCACCACCTGCTGGATCATCTTCACCTGTTCGTCAGCGTTACGGCCCTGCAGTGAGAAAGATGGCCGACAGTAAAGCAAAGACTCACTGTTCCAGCCCAGGCTCAAAGTATGTTTGTATCGTATCTGAGTAAGTGAGTGCTGCGGTAGCTCTGGCCTGGTGGCTCGTCTGGTCGGTCCAGACGGGCTGAGCTCAGGTTAGTTCTGGTTTGGTCGGATGTCTGGTGTTATCTCACCTCCCAGTGAATCCACTTGAACTTGTGAAGATTGACTTTAGAGAAGTCCTCTGCTGTGACGTCAGGAAGGTTCCTGACAGACAGGAAGTGAGGTCAGAGTTGATGTCCTTGAGGGACACGTCCATCCCTCCGTGTCTCAGGTCAAACTGCTCCAAGTCCTTCGTGTTAAGGACACGCCGACTCTTAGAGTCTAAAGACTTGCTGATGACATCACTGTTACATCACTGTTACATCACTACGACGTCCTGATCTGGACCGATCAGTGATCAATGCATTGATCGGCCTGATCAGGACTTTCTACAATAAAATCTACGGAATGTGTCTGAGCTGTTTGACCTGCTGAGTTTGGAGGGACGACGATTTCATCTTCAGACACAACCAATGACACACTTTCAGGTTTTATGTTTAACTCAGTTCCTCCATCAGACTGATCAACCCCCAGCCCAACCAATAACCGATCAGATGGACAGATGATCAATCAGACTGAAGACGTCTCTGTAGCTCCGATCAAGCACGAACTGAGCCAACACAATATGATGCAGGATCAGTGAAACACCTGCTCAGGTGTGTTTCTGTCCATTCAAACACAAATCGGTGTGATTACGGAACATGCTGATTACCAGCTACAGCTCCTGATAGGCTGACATTCTGGAGGTGGAGCCTTTCATCAGTAACTATTAATTAGTCATTAATTACTGAGGAATTAAATGAATTCTTAAGGATGAATTAAGCCCAAATCACTGCAGATGTTCGGACGGCGCTGGTCGAATAAACTGAAAGCTGCAGGATGTCCGGTGGACAAAACCCACGCAAGACCCCAACAGAAGAGCGTTTCATCGGGAATAACGTTTTTAGCTGTGATTCTGTGTTTTTAGCCACAGATTTAGATGTGTCCTCACTGCAGCTCGACACAGCTTCTTATCAATTAAGGCTTAAACATAGAACAAAGTTAGCTTGAGTCAGACGTTAACACTGCGGCTTCTCGTTAACACTCCTGAGCTTCTTCCTGAACCGTTTTCTCTGGCGTGTGTTTTGTCCTCACAGGCCACCGTCCAGATCACCTGAACCTTTCAGACAACAGGTTAATGAAAGTTAATGTTTCTGTTTTCATAGCTTCCACTACCGTTTAATCGACTTCTTGTCTTTACACAGTCACTGAAGGTCAGCTGACCTCTGAGCCCCGTCTGATTGGTGGTTCAGGACCTCAGCTCTGCAGTGGATCACCATCATTACACCAGATTCAGGAGGAGGATTGATGTTTAGGTGAGTCAGTGGGTCGAACAGTGTTCACCAAACACCCCGAGACGCTTGTTTCCTCCATCGGAAGGAGGCGGTGGGCGGGGCTTATAGCAGAGGGGCGTGGTTAGACAGAGTTTACTGATGGGTTTGTTCACAAGAAATCAGTGAACAAACACTGAGCTGGTGGAAAATGCAGAACTTCATTTAAAAAGAGAAACAAACAAAAAACCAAAAACAAGCTACGACATGAAAGATTCTCAAGAAAACAGGTCAAAAGGAGGTCCGACTGGAACGTGTTCTGATCAGCAGCTGAAGAGTTTTAACATTGCACTTTGACTAAACAAGTTTCTGAAGCAACTGGTTCTGGTTCTAAACAACCCAGAAATCTGAATGGAGCTGTGGTACCATGTGACCTGCTGATCCACTGATGTCACACTGATAAATTCGTCTCCATGGTAACAGCGTCTGACTGGTGGGGAGGTGTTTGGCGAACACCGTGCCGTGACGGCGGCCGGTCGTCTTACGTATCGGAGAGAACGACGGTTCGAGTCCCACTGGACGGACAAACCAAACAACATGCACACGGCGTCTGAGCGTCGAGCTGCCAAACCACCGCCGAGGCGTCGACTGAACGCCGCGAGAAGTCGGCCATGATGAAACTGACAGGGAGACAGACAGCACAACGTCACATCACAGTGAGCCGCTCTGATTGGTGGGGACAGGAGGGGGGTGGGGCCACCCGGATGACGCTGGTCCTGAAACAGAAGCAGTTAGCGACACACACCTGTTCACACCTGTTCACACCTGTTCATGTGCAGGATGGTGCGACTTCCTGTGCTGATGTTGCTGATGACCACAGAGGCTGGAAGGACGCACTGAGCATGCTCAGACACCAGCGACACGTCGATGCAGAACTTCTGAAAATCCTCCAAAATAAAACTACAGACAGTGAAGAGAAGAGAGCAGCTGCTGCCATCAGAACCGACAGATCGACCGGTTCTGATCCTGATGGTTGAGACGTTGGAGCTACAATCATCAGCTGGCAGCATGAGAACAACAAAGTGCTTGTTTGATGAAAAGCAGGAAACAAGCTGTTTCCAAACAGTCCGTAGATGATGGACCCGGAACCCAACCAGGACATCGGTCAGGTTTTAGAACTTCACTGAATATTAACACAGTTTAAAGTCATACAAAGTGTTTCCTGTCGTTTAAATGTTCAGTCTAAATACCTTCAAATGTGTCACTGAGTTTCTTCTTCAAATGTTATTTTATTTGTCCTGTTGTGGTTTTATGAGACGGGTTCAAACCCTACAGCCTGGTGATGGGTCGCCACTCAACCTGCTGCCCTGCGTCACCCATCCATCCATCATCTCTACACCTTCATCCTCACTAGGGTCATTAGGGGGCGGAGTCTATCGCAGCTGACTCAGGGTGAAGGCAGGTTCACCTGGACAGGTAACCAGTCTATCACAGGGCTACACTTAGAGACAGACAACCAAGCACACTCACATTCACACCTACGGACAATTTACAATCACCAATTAACCTCAGCATGTTTCTGGACTGTGGGAGGAAGCCGGAGAACCCGGAGAGAACCCACGCTGCACGGGGAGAACATGGAGACTCCACGCAGGAAGACCCCGGGTGTCCTCACCGGGACGCCAGCCGGCGACCTTCTAGCTGTGAGGCCATGGTGCTAACCACTGAGACATCTGCAGCCCGACTCCCAGTCCCTGAATTTAGAAAATAAAATCCCTGAATTTAAAAAATAAAATCCCTGAATTCGGAAAATAAAATCCCTGAATTCAGAAAATAAAATCCCTGACTTTCTTGACCAGGACCTGAGCAGCTCCGTCTTCTGACCACTGACAGCAAAGTGGAAACTCTATTTTCATTTGCTAACTGATGAATGTGCTGATTCTGAATGTACTGCTGGACCTCCTGATCGGTGTGTTAATGGATGTAGGGGTACTGCTCAGCCTGTTTGTAGGTGTATTGATCGGTGAACTGATCGCACTCACTCGGCCACCGGTCCGGCAGACAGGGAGCCCATGAAGGCGCAGGAAGCTCCGAGCAGCGACAGAACCGTGCAGGAGTTGGAGGCGTTTCCTCCTCGCTGCCAACGCTGCGACAGACACCTGCAGGTGCACAGTGATGACATCACAGCATTGTCATATCAAAAACAGTCTGTTGCACCTCCTCATCACAATTAAAGTACCTGTTTGTTTGTTCAGCCAATCACAGTCATCGTGGGCGGAGCCAAGTAGGGATCAACCAATTACTTGACATTATTATTTGAAACTTTTCTGATTATCTGTATGTTTTTCCTGATAAAATTAATTAATTTTAAATCATGCTCTTTTGTCTGTGAGACGGTGTTGGGGAACCTGCAGCGCTCACTCTGACTCCGCCCACCTGATGATGCTGCTGCTCACCTGTCATATCAAGTAAAACAACAGACGCTCAACTCGACACAAAGGAACATGTTTTTTGTGTTCTGATGCTGAATGGAGGTGTTCAGCAACATTACAGGGAAACTTTAATGTTCTCACATCAGCAAACCCTGAGAACAAACAGGAACACAGACAGCAAGCAGGCTAACAGGCAGTTA